GAATCCCTTTGCTGTCCACCTGAAACTACCACAACGTTGTCAATCGGCTGTTGTTTTCTCATCGTTCAGTCATTTCTGACCTCTGTGACCCCGTGGGCTGCAGCCTGCCAGGCTCCTCTGTCCATGGAATTCTCCAGGCAAGAAGGCTGGGATGGGTTGCCATTTCCTCCTCCAGGGGATCTTCCAGACCCAGGAATAGAACCTGCGTCTCCTGCTTTGGCAGGTGTATTCTTCATTGCTGAGCCACTGAGAAAGCCTGAATTGGCTATACCGCAATGTAAAATAATATAAAACAAAGTTTTTTTAAAAAAGAATGAACCTCCACAAAGCACAGCCAAACGCAGCTGGCCCAGGCTCCACCTCTCCAGCAATTACCCCAGATGTGGCCTCGGCCGTGCCCCTGCTGGGAGGATCCCAGGCCCTTCCCCCTCCCCACCTGCAGGGTTTTCTCTATTTGCAAACAGAAGACAGAGAACCTTAGAAGGTATAGGCTGCCTTGGGTTTGATGTGGAATTTCTACCTTGGGGACCTGAAGTTGGATGTTGGAGGTGACACCCGTGTCCCCTGTTTCAGCCCAAGCCCGCTCTGGGGGTCATTGTAGTGGGAGACTGCTAGAGTTATATACGGGGGTGCTTGACACTCCACCGCGCACCGCCCCCCCCCATTATCAAGACGTGGCATCTTCTACTCAATGATGGATCTTTTCATGTGGGCCGGTTGGAGATGAGCCTTCACACTGTGAATGGGGTCTCAGTCTAGGTTTACTTGGGATAATCGATGTGTTTTCAAAGGTTCATGCGCCCCATTATCCAGACCCCAGTAGATGTTGTGTGGGAAGTGGGGATTCCAGAGAGGAGGCAAGACATTCTCAGAGCCGCATGTGGTCTGCACAGAGGAAGGAGCCTGCAGGATGCGGCACTGGGGCCCAGATGCAGTTTCTGACACATCTGGTGTCCTGGGTCGCGGCGAGGGGGCACCCTGGGAGCTGGTGCAGCGGGCAGGGAGGCCCTCCTTCTGCAGTCCTCTTGCTGGCTTCCAGCTGGGCAGGGCTGTGCTGCCGGGTCAGCCGGCCGGACTTCCAGATCTCCCAGGCAAGGCCCTGACCGGAGGTGACACAGGCCTGCTGGGGGCAGGTGTATGTGTGTTTACTGGCAGGTCAACCAGCAAATGAGACTCACCAGAACCTCCGGGGGCGGGCGCATTCCTCCCCGCTTCTCCCTAGTCTGCCTGGCTCCCGGCTCGCGTGTCCTCTTCGCGGTGCTCTCCTGGGCTGTCTGACCCCAGTCCCTCCCATTCCCCCGTGGGGCTGACTTAAGTTTCTGTCCTTACCAGACTAGGACTTGGCCCTGCGTGAGCAGCTCAGGTGCTGTGATGCATCCCCACGCACTGGGCAGCTTATCTGCATGGGGTCCCCCTGCCGCCCCTTCCCTTCCCTCCACGTCTGCTTTTCTCATCAATGCCACCTTCTCAAAGACAAAGGCAGCGAGCAGCCCAGGCTGACTGCTGGGAGGAAGCCATGCCCCCCTTCCCCACCCCCCGAGAGTCGGGTCAGCTCCTGGGAGGAGGGGCTCTGCCTTTCCTGCAGGACTCCTGACCCGGCCACGCTCCTCTGTGATGGGGTCGAAGGGCATGTCCACCCCGGGACCCCTGGCAGGCTCACGCCAGGGCCAGCTATGCTCCGTGCCGCCATCCTGAGAATGAAATCCGGAACAAGGTGCTCCAGCACACAGATGACTTAGGTTAGCAGAAGGGGCCGTGTCGGGGGTCCCATGACCTCTCCCACGCCTGGAGGTCCGCCAGGCTCAGCCTAGCATGCGGCTCGCTCACGGCGGAGGTTATTACAGAGCACAGGAGACCGCAGGGTCATGGGCAGGGAGAGGGGACCGAGGTGGCGTCCGGAGGGACCCACACACAGGTTTCTCTGTTCTTCCTCCGGGAGACTGCCCCAAAGTCATCTTGATTTCTAATCTGATAGACCCGCGTCCGGCTCTATAATAAGATGGAAACACTGAATACCCGAGTGGGGCAAAGGCCCGAATAGATCCTGAACTTTTATTCAAACGCATGGATAAAGCCACAGAACATCACAGCCAAATTTAATCCCTTCCCCTTAGAATTCATACCATTTCATCATAATCATGCTAGGTTTTGATTGAGCAACTGTGCGTTTTCAGAGTTGAAGCTCTTCACGTGTTGGATGTAGTTGGAGCTGTCACCTGGGGCGGGGACGGCCTTGAGCCCTTTCTTCCCTCCTAAGTGAAGACGGCGATGCTTAATCGAGAGAAAAACAATAAAACTGAATGATGCGATTGAGTTGGTGTGGAGTTAGGGCTGCTGCAACACATGGAGTTAGTGGCTTCTTGAATGTTAGAAGGAAAATTCAAATTTAAAATACATATTAGCTTTCCTTGTTACAGGTCCTATTGTGTGTGTTTAGTCATTAAGTTGTGTCTGGACCTTTGTGACCCCATGGACTGTAGCCCACCAGACTCCCCTGTCCATTGGATTTTCCAGACAAGAATATTAGAATGGGTTGCCATGCCCTCCTCTAAGGGATCTTCCTGGACCAGGGATTGAACTCACATCTCTCGGGTCTCCTGCATTGGCAGGCAGATTCTTTACCACCTGGGAAGAAGTGCACTACCTGGGAAGCCCCCGGGTCCTGTGGCCTCACTTCTTTTCCTGACTCGATCCTCTGGGAGAACTGGTCTCAAAGACAGCAGTGTGATCACATCGCTGCCACGTGGTCTGAGTTCCGAGCTCACAGCCGGGGCCTGGTGGTGCCACAGCGGCTGCCACTGGCTGTTTCTGGCCATGTGGCATTGAACTTGAGCTACGTTGGGGAACCCTATTCTAAGACCCACCTGTGCTCGCGCTAATGGTACCCAACCATGGGAGACAGAGCAGTCTGCAGCTGAGTCAGGGCATCTCTGTAGAAGACGGTTGGACAAGAGTCTCCCCTGGGCCGAGAGGATGCTCAGAAGTCGTTTGGTGTCCCAGCCTTAGGCAGGCTCCCTCGGCTGGTTGAGGAGCGTCTTGCCCTAATACTACTCTCATCAGTGGTCCTAAGGTCCTTCTTCTCCTCTTGGTGCCTTCTAGGAGTTCCTGATATTAACTAGAGTCAGGACAGCATTTAAAATTCTAGCTGCTTGAGAATAATTGGGTGGGGGGGGTGAGTTGTACCAGAAAACCCATTAAGTACTTAAAAGATTAATTTTTGTCATGACTACTAGTTGGTAAACATTATCTTTCAGATCAGCCTGAACAATAATGTGAGTAATGGGAACCATTCAACTTATTTTGGTTTAATTTTAAATCTTGGATTATGGTAATACTTTGCGTTTTTATTAGTATTAGATGAGAATTGAAGCAAATTATTTTTGGTGGTTTGATTTGTTGAAATAATTCTTATTTGCTCACTGGCAGTGGACTTCACCTCTTAGGAGCAAATGTGGAGAAGGAAGAATGCTGAGTCTTATGGGAGAGGAGCATAGATGCCTAGGAATTCTGGCTTTATTCAGGCCAGACCTCTCACAGTCATGATGTCATGAGGAGGGAGTCAGTGTTCTTTCTGTTCATGTGTTCATTCAATGAGTATCTGCCAAGGTTGATGCATTCTTTTTTTGGGGGTAATTTTTTTAAAAAATTTACTTTACTTATTTACTTGGCTGCATGGGGTCCTAGTTTTGGCACATGGAAGATTTAGTTGTGGCATGTGGGATCTGTTTCCTTGACCAAGGATTGAACCCGGGTCCCTGCTTTGGGAATGTGGAATCTTAGCCACAGAACCATCAGGAAAATCCCTTAACATTTATTTTTAATAATGTGTCTGCACATATAGTGTCTGCAGTGTATGGATCTAAGGTTTGCAACATGATGATTTGGTAAAACATGCATAATGAAATGATTACCGTAGTCAGGCTAAAGAACAGTCTTCTCAAATGGTTATCTTTTTTTGCATGTGTGGCGAGAACACTTGAAACTTACTCTCCCAATAGGTTTCCAGTGTTCAGCACAGTTTTATCAACTACGGTCACCATGCTGGCCACTAACGTCTAGACTGTTTATCCCAGAGAGCTGTAGCTCTGTGCCCTTTGACCTCATCTTCCTATTTCCTTCACCTCCTTACCCTTGGTAGCTGCCGTTTTCTGGATCTGACTTTTTAAGATTCCACAAATAAGTGAGACCAAGCAGATGTTTTTCTTTCTGTGTGTGGCTTATCTCAGCACAGTATCCTCCAGGTTCATCCATGATGTTGCAAATGGCAGGACCTCCTGCCTCCTGGCTGGATAATGTTCCTTGCGTACCCACAGTCAGCTCCTGATGGGCTGTTTCCTTCCCTTGGCTGTCGTGAGTAACGCTGCATGAATAAAGGCGTGCAGGCGTCTCTTTGAGGCGCCGGTTTCCCCTTCTTTGGGTGGATACCCAGGAGAGGGGTTTCACGGCAGCTCTACTTTAGTGTCTCAAGGAACCGCCATAATGTTTCCCATACAATGCTTCTTTAAGTGCCGGCTGTTGTTGAACGTGGAAAATCTGTCCCCAGGGGCTGGTAGTCATATGTTTACAGAAGCCACCGTCAAGCTCTAGATCTTGGCCACTTGGAGAGCGTGTTGCTGATCTGGTTTAAACATTGATCTCTGCCATCTGTTTCTCAGACTGAGCCAAGTGAGGGTGCTCTGGGGAGGGATGTGGAAAGCTTCCCGCAGAGCTCACGGCTTGTTCTGCTGTTTGTTATGTTCTTTCATTCAATGCTGCCTCTAGTGTTAGTCATTCAGTCGTGTCCGACTCTTTGTGACCCCACGGACTGTAGCCCACCAGGCTCCTCTGTCCATGGGGTTCTCCAGACAGGAATACTGGAGTGTGTTGCCATTTCCTCCTCCAGGGGATCTTCCTGACCCAGTGATTGAACCTGGGTCTCCTGCACTGCAGGCAGATTCTTTAACGTCTGAGGTGTCAGGGAAGCCCAGCACTACCTCCAGATCCCATGCAGAAAACCTTACTTAAGTGGAAGCACTTGGCCCGGAAGGTCCAGGAGGAACAGCAGGTGGCAGGGTTGTCCTCAGTGTTGGTCTCGTCCTGACGCCTGGTTTAGGGCAGAGCCTTGTGTTGCCCGATTTCCTGTGACTCTGCCAGCTCATGCCCTCCCCCACACTCCCTCCGTATGTGAGCATAACCACACTTAGAGTCAGTAATTACAGCCATGATCACAAGAATAGCCCCTGCAGACTTAACCTGATGTGGCAATAGGGTTTGGCCCGCAAGGGGCCTGGACTTCGCTGACCGTCTGCAGGACCCGAGCAAGTCCAAGGGCCATCCTGAGCCTCAGAGTTTTCATCTCTCAAGGGTCTGTGAGCAGACGGCCACCCCAGGCAGGCCTCTGCATGAGATGACGCAGTCTGAGCCCAGCGCCCCTTTGGGCTGACCACGGCGAGTGTCTCTGCTCTGCAGGAAGGACTCTTTCTGGGGGGCAGCTGTGAGGCTCTGCACGTCACACGAGTGACTGTTCATCTCAGCGGGTGCCCGGGTCCTTCACCCCCATCCTGTGTCCCAGCACCTTTGCCCGAGCTCCCACGGGGCCGAGGAGGGAGGGGGCATTGCCCTCTTGTCTCACTGGTTTCCTGAGAGCTTTCCAGGCCCACCCTGTCCTCTGTGGGGCTGTGTCTGTGGGCCTGGGAACCGGGCAGACATGGGATGCACCTGCAGCGACCCTCTGACGTGGGGGTCTGGCCTCACCCTGCCAACCTCCTCTGTCTGGCATAAATCCTCTGGGCTCTGCATCTGACTGTTTCATTCCTGCTTTTGTTCCGAATTCGGTGTCACCACGGGGTTTTGTGGGCCTTGTGGGCGTGACTCCAGCAGGGAAGAAACCCAACGTGCCGCTGGTGAGATTATTCAGGAGCAACCAGGTAGCATCACCGGCTCGATGGACGTGAATCTGAGCAAACTCTGGGAGATGGTGAGGGACAGGGAGGCCTGGCGTGCTGCAGCCCGTGGGGTCGCAAAGAGTTGGACATGACTGAGCGACAACAAAGTGCTTGGTTGAATTAGATGCTGGTCTCTTGGAAGCATGACTGAAGTGGAAAAAGGAAACATTTGGAAAGAAAGACGTCAAGGCCTCTTGCCAGCCCAGCCCCAGAAGGCATGATGGTGACAGATTTGTGTCTGGGAACAGGGGGTTCACCAGCAGGGTTGGCCCTGTCCAGCCCATGGGCGCCAGGCTGACCGCCGAGGTGCCTCCCGCACTGTCGTCCTGCAGAATCGCATCTGCGTTCTTTGCAGCCCAGCCAGGGGCTTCTGCTCTAGACTCAGCCTGCTTCTTTCTCTCCTCCAGGCTTTGCTGGAGAACATGTGGCTGTTCAGAGTGCCGCCCCGGACACCTTGGGGCTGTCTGCTCTCCGAGTGCTGCTGGGCCAGCGGGGCGGCCCTGCCTCAGTGCTGAGAGCTGTGTAGGCTTGGAGAGCTCTGCCCGGCTGGCACGAGGAAGGGCCCTGCGCAAAGGCAGACAGCCCCCCGGGAGGAAGTCAGCGCCACCTCGCGGGTCCTGCCAGCTGGGGCCGGGTGACTGCAGAGCCTCTTCGTGCTGGCCACGCGTGCAGGGGCCCCGTGAGCGGGCTTCCCCACGCCCCATCTTCTGCTCTTACTGTTCGTGTGGGCTCCGAACAGACTCATTTCCCCGGGGCACCTGGCTGTGGAGAGTCAGCCACCGGCGGATGGAGATCCAGCCCAGATGCAGCCAGAACACTCGGTGGTCCAGGCACAGCGCCGGTGGTCCAGGCAAGCTCACCGTCTCCGGGTTCTCTGGCCTGGATACCACCCCCTCTGATGGCGTGTCTGGTCTGCAGAAGCTGGACAGCCAGGACTGAGTGACTTGGGCCGCTGCCTGTCACCGCCTCCCCCATAAGGAGGCGTGAGGCTCAGTGACGGCACCTGAGCAGCACGGGGCCAGGGCTGCACCATCCCCCCGAGAGGGAACCGGCTTGAGCGGTGTCTCTGGGCAGAGTTCTCCGACTGCAAGAAACAGAAGCCCGCAGAGGCGGCTCGTGAGGAGGAGGGTTTGTTCTGAGGACACAGATGCTGCTCAAATCCTGGATAGAGCTAAACCTCGGGGCTCGGGAGGGCGGGGTGGCGCTGCCTTGGAGGGAAACCTGGGCAGGTGGATCAGTGCATTCACTTGTGCTCCTTGGATGAGGCTCCAGGCTGGAGGGAATCCAACTCATCTCCGCCTCCCTACAAATCTGTCTGGCTCTGTCTCCCCACAGGACCCGATTCATAGCGGGGTGGGGAGTGCGGCTGTGCCAAGCTAGCAGATCAGCTGGCTCCTACTCGATGCCTCAAGGCGGGGAAGACACCCGAGTGAATGTGTTTAAACCTGAACTTGTCACTTCTGCTTGTGTCGTGCACTTGCAAGGCTCAGGATGTCAGGAGCGGCTGGTCTCTGACTTGGTGTTTGTTCAGAGCTTCAGTGAGCTCCAGGGGGACAAGAGGCAGCGTGGGGGGCTTGGCTTGGAGACAAGGAACCGCCCTGGGTGGTGGGAAAGCATGTAAGGTTTTTAATTTTATTTTTGGACTTCTCTGGTTTGGAACATGCACTTTTCAAACTTATGCCTTAAAGCAAGGTCTACATGGGAAAGTGAAAGCAAACACAAAAACAAACCAAAGGCACCCCCTCTGTTCCGACTACCTGGAGGGGCGGGTGGATGTTGTGAAGGCCTTTGGGGTCGCTGCACCTGTGCTCAGGTGCGCAGGGGGGATGTGTGCTCAGCCGTGTGACTCACGTAGGGCAATTGTGTCAGTGACGAAACCAGATTCTTGCCATACGTGCTTTTAGTATAATAGGTATTAAATTTAATTCTGCCTGAAGATAAAAGAAATAAAAGTAAAATAGGAGGGACTGCTGGGGTTCAGATGAATGTTTCTAATTAAAAGAGATTTAATGACACAGTGATGCCTCCGAGGTGGTGAAAAATAATTGTTAGATCCCTAAGGTTGGAGCCACTTGAAGAAAGCCCATTTTTTTCACCTTTCCATGTATCGATTGCGTCTATTGGGAAAGATGAGGAATATAGGGTGCTGAACCTCTTTTCTCCTTTCCTCGCCTTCAAACTTTCATCAGCTCTGCTTTTAATGTCATCAAAACTGACGTCACATCCATTCATTCTGGAAGGAACCCCAACATCTGTGTGGTCCTGTCCACGAAGGCTGTTCTATCCCCAGGTTATTTATACTTGTTTTCTGATCAGCTGGACGTGTCGCCAATGATTCTTTTCCTAGAAGAACCCTGCTGTCATATCCTCAAGGTCTTGGGAGCTTGGAGCATCTTGTCTCTCTCTGTTTGCACTCTGCATCTGGGTGGGCTGCTTTCCTTCCCCCGAGACTCCTTGGTGATTTCTCATATCTCTGGCCTCCAGGGTTGGAGCGATGGAGACCTCTCCTTTATCCTTCCCTCTGGCTGGACTTGGTGATGGAGCAGGTGCCCCAGAAGGGCTGGGTGGTGGCGTGTCCACTGGTCCTTTCCAGGTTGGGGGTCGGCCCCTGGCCTCCACCCTGGACAGCTCTGTGCTGGCCCCGCCCCCTGTCCCTGAGAGCTCTGTGCCTGGTGCTCCTGTGTCTCCCGAGCGCTGGTTTTGGCCGCAAAGGGCTCTGAGCCAGTCTGGCGGCTCTCGATGAGTTGGTGAGTCATCTGCCTATGTGGTCAAGTGTCGTTTCTTTAAGCCTGAAACCCAGCGCCTTGACCAGGACGTGTCTCGGCGTAGATCGCTCGGGTCATTTCGTCCTGAAACAGGACTGAGATTTTGAGTGGTAGGTCCACAGGCTGCTTCTCCTCTGCAGTCTGCCTTTTATCTTTGCTCCCTTCCCACTTCGTCTGCCTCCCTCGCCAGCCAGACTTTTCTCCGTGCCACAAATGCGGTGTTAGTCGTTACCTCCTTCCTGATGTTTCGACTTTATATAGGATTCTGTAATGATGGTGTTTTTGGCCAATTTGTTTCCTGGAGCCTGCAATTTCCATTCTCATCTTCTCTTCTTGTGTTGGAATCTTGCCTTTGAGTCACTGTTTCCACTGAATTCGTGTTCTCGTTATGCCCTTTGAAGCAGGGCACACCGGGACTGCCCCGTTCTGTGGGAGACGAGTGCTCCGTGCACACGTTGACCTGTCCTTCACAAGCCGGGTCCCCTGCTCCCTCGCGCTCTCTCCTGATTCCCCCTGGCCTCTCTCCCAGCCTCCCTCCCTCGTCCTTTATTTCCAGACTCCTGCCTTTGGCTGGTGCTGGGCTCCTGGGCTGCACATTCAAGTGCAGTGCTGATGCCAGCCACGCCCGAGACCAGCCAGGTCAGGGTGTCAGTGGTGAGTCCCAGTGCCTGTCTTTCTAAATCTCTCCAGCTGTTTCCAGCGTACAGCTCAGGTTGAGAACTGCTACTCTGATGTCCCTAGGAAAATCAGAAAATAACCAATCATGTAAGATTAACCCCCTGGTGGCACTAGTGGGAAAAAGTCTGCCTGCAATGCAGGAGACACAGGTTTGATCCCTGGGCCAGGAAGATCCCCTGGAGGAGGGCATGGCAACCCACTCCAGTAATCTTGCCTGGAGAATCCCCGTGGACCGAGGAGCCTGGTGGGCTGCATCCGTGGGGTTGCAAAGAGTCAGACATGACTGAGTAGCTTAGCACACAGCACTAGGAAGGGATAACCATGTAGGAAATGCTCTGAGTTGGGGACTTGCCTGTAGGGCCTGGTGAATGTCCTTTCGTGCAGAGCAGTGGTGTGGGCGGGGTAGGGGTGGGGGATGTTCTCCCTCCCAGTCTTCCTGGTTAAATGGACCATTTGGACCTTCCTGATGTCCTCCTGCGGCCTGGAGGCCCTGCATGGATGCAGGAGGTATTTGCTTTGCAAAACACCTCTCTTTGCTTCCAATAATTTATCTGCAAAAAAAAACCAAAAAACCAACCAAAAAACACATCTTTTCCCAAGTCAGCCCTGGTTACATTTTCTAGCTTCTACCAAAGCCAGTGCCTGAGCCATTACTTTAAAACCAAGCTGTGAATTGTTCATTCCTCACTAATTCCCAGATGGAAATCGTGATTTTTGTTTACTTTCCTAAAAAATTCACATTTCACCCGAGGCTTGGCGGAAGGAATTTTAAGCATCCTTTGAAAGCGGTAGAGATGAGTTGGGGATGAAATGACCACACGGATTTAACTAGCGACGTCATTTTTTAAGGTGTGCCATCAAGTGGAGGAACACAGTGGTGAATGAGGGGTGATCTCCAGCCACCAGGAGAATGTTCATTTCATTGGACGGGTCACTCGAGATGAATTTGTGGTTTAGGAGCCATTTCGGAGCCAGGTAAAGCCCCTTCGCAGTGAGCAGCGTTACGATTCAGGGCACCCAGGTGTATTGAATATTTAATTTGACTGAGGAGCTGTTTGTGGTGCCCCCGGCTCGTGCTGGAAGGTCAGCCTCTGCTGGGTCACGTCTGATGGCGGCGGAGTTGGGGCTGGGCGGTCCACGTGGCAAAGCATTTTCTGAAAAAGCACTGAAACCCCTGCCCTTCTCCTCACCCCACGTCCCTGCCACGCCCTTGTCATTTTCCAAATTATGCAGAAGAGTGAAACGTCACAGTAGTTGTGACTCAGAGAAGGAAGAGCAGGACTTGGAGGGGGTCCCCTGGAGAAAGAAATGGCAACCCACTCCAGTATCCTTGCCTGGGAAATCCCATGGACCTAGGAGCCTGGCAGGCTACAGTCCAGGGGTTGCAAGACAGTCAGACGTGACTTAGGGACTAAACAACAACAAGTGTTTTCTCTGGCCCTCAGGTTCTGATCTGTAAATGGGGGGCCGCCCCTGGCCCCACCACCAGCCTCCTGGGGGTCGGGTGCATGTGTCTGACCCGCGCATGGAGATGACGCTCCACTTCGTGCAGGGCCTCAGAGGTCTCCATAGACCCTCTGCTTCCCTTGTGTGCAAGCTGTCCTCCTTCACATTCCTGTTCTGCCAGCAGCCGTGGCAGGTGCCCGCCCGTTCTGAGAGAGCAGCTCGGGTGTGCTCCAGAAAAAGCAGGTCCTCCCGTCTATCCGAGTGGACGTGCGTGGGGCGAGCCGGCTGCAGGCGACAGTTCGGTGTGTGGCCCCTCCTGGCCCCGGGTCCTTAAGCCTGCAGCCCCTCCTGTCCCCAGAGCCCCTCCTCTGTGTCGGGGGGAGGGCCGGTGGAGGTGGGGAAGGAAGGCTGGAGTCGGGGGTAGGCAGGACCGTCCACCGTCTGCAAGCTGGGGACTGCACGCACCCCGTGCGGCAAGGCTGCTTCCAACTCCAGAAGCAAAGTGCTGTCCTTTAGACTTAAAAGCAGAGCTTAAGAGTTTGAAAAATGAGACTTTCAGACTTAATGGAAGGTACTTTTCAAAGAGCTGCTCACTCAACTCACAAATCGATGCCTGCAGAACATTTCTGTTTTTCAGGTTGATGTTTTTGAGTCCAAATACCAGTGATTCTGTTCCTCAAGCTTCTGATGAAGCCGGGCATTGTGGGGGTGCCTGAAGCCGACAAGAGCTGTGTCCCCTGTCCACGGGGTCAGAGGGCAAGAGGCAGAGCCTGGGCCAGCTGTGTGCCCGCTGTACCTGGAGTCCAGGGCTCATCTAGACCAGGTGTCAGCTAATAATTGTTGCTAATTAAATGTCATGAGGTGCTGGACGCTGTTGGTGCCTCCTCATTCTGCTCCCCAGCTGGCTCACCTGCTCGGGGTGGGGGGGGGGCACTGGGGAGGGGGTGCAGTTCCGAGTGATGGTCTGCCCATGTCGTTAGACTTTTCTCCACTTTCAGGTGCGTTTGAATATTTCTGTGAGAAGCGGAGTTGAGATAGATTACCATAGAGATGGAGAAGTAGAGCCTGGCCTGGAGATAACAAAGGAGAGGCATTTTCTAGTTTGAATCACACCGTGGTGCGCTTTGCTCTTCTTCTGGGGGTACAGGGTGGGGCTGACCGTGGGCTCTGCTGGAGGGCAGGCGGGCCGCGGGGCTCAGCGGCAGACAGAGGGGAGGCCTCAGAGCCTGCGTCTGTTCCTAGGTTCCCGCCTGTCCAGCGCAGTCCTAACAGTTGTGTCACAAGAAGGCACTTTTACCAGAGGCCTTCGTGTGTGTGTGTGTGCACACACGTCTGTATATGTGTGCATTTGTGCGTGTGTATGAATGTGTGAATTTGTGTCCCTGCATGCATGCACGCGTGTGGGAGCACAGGTGCTCTCCAGGCCATCAGAGAGCTAGCCCGGCTTGCTAGGTGACCGGCTCCAGAGGACAGATTCGTTATGAACTTGATGAATGCGCTTTTCCGACAAATGGCAACTGGACATTTAAGTGTGAGACAGCGGTCTGTGGTCCTCATCTCTCTCTCTCCGTTCGATTGCCTTCCTCATGTTGGACACAGTGGAGAAGTAAGCCTGCCCCCTGCTGCTGCCCCGTCGCCCAGGTGGGTTTCTGGTGTGGCTGCTGCTCCTTGAGTGCCTGCTGCGTGCCAGGCCCTGGGCAGGGCTTAGACGCTGCAGAGCCAGCAGCTTGGTACCCCCCGAAGGAGCAGGCGTCTCCACAGGGCAAACAAAGCATCATGGAGACCTAGCTGCTGGGCTTCTTGGGGTCCGGCCACTTACCTGGAAGCGCTTCCCTGCAGCAGGACCCCGTGGGGGTTTATGGGAAACACATGGCTTGTCCCGACAGGACCAGCCAGAAGGCCGAGGTGGCTCGGGTAGTAGGTCAGGTGATGCGGGTACGTGTGCGGGCAGGGCTGCAGCGCCCAGCAGGGTCCCGGATCAGGGGTCAGCCATCGGGTGTGGTCAGGCCCTGCTGTGCCTTCTCCCTGGGGGCGCATTCAGCCGCGTCCTCAGCTGCCGCGACCCTCGGGTCGTCTCTCCCAGGAGCGGTGGCCTCTCTGCTCTGTCGTTGAGCTGGCCGGGCTTGCAGGGACCCTTGCAGAAGGAAATGGCAGCCCACTCCAGTACTCTTGCCTGGAGAATCCCATGGACCGGGGAGCCTGGTAGGCTACAGTCCATGGGGTCGCAAAGAGTCCGAGATGACTGAGCAACTTCTTCATTTCACTTCACTTGCCTTTCTGGAAGGCAGTGGTAGGGCAGCCTCTTCCTTGATCAGCGGGATTCAGAGTCCGGACTGACAGCTGTAGGAATCCTGTGGGTAAGGGTGGGTACACACATTCACACTGTTCCTTGCTGGAGGGACTGAAATCCTTGAATCTGGAGCCCAGAAGGCCCTCTGTAGTTATGTGAAGCCCCCAGGCCCAGGGGAGGGGTTAGGGGTGCTGCTCAGAGCAAGCCCACCCAGGCCCACCCCTGGACTGGCGCAGGCAGCCCTGACTCAGAAAAGGATGGACCATCGGCAAACTCTCCCTTTAGGTACATGCTCCACGGCAGTCTGCTCCACCATCAACCATTTCTTGGCATTCCCAGCTTGAAAGCATCACAGTGAGATGAGATGACTGCCAGCCAGTCAGCACTGCTGCTCTCCTGGTCCAATGGCAACAATCCCAAGACCGGCTCACTGGCAGCTCTGCCCTGGTCAGACGCTTCCCGCCCTGCTGTGGGCCTGGGGCCTGACTCCAGCCCCGGGAGCAGCCCTGACTTTGGTTCAGGACAGGACACGGGGCCTGGCTCACGAGCCTGCTGGTGCTGACCAGCAGGGCCGTCCTGGCCTCCGCTGGCTGGACGCTCATTCACCACTTGCTCATGCTGGGGCCTCGGCCTGTCTGAGAGGTTCACTGCTCTCAGAGGAGCCTGTTGGCAGGTGTTGGACCCTCTCCACTCACATTCCATCTGTGGTCAAAGAAGGGTAAAGAGGGAGAAAAGTGTCTCCTGAAGATTGATTTAGAAAACAACCCTTTGAATTACAGCTTCGTTAGCACACTGCATGGAAAAGAGGGACTTTTAAAATCAATTTGCAACGTCTCAGCCCCTGGGCCTTTCCCCCCACGATTCTAGAACCCCTGTGCACCAGAAACCGCCGGCCCACACTTGCCTCAGAGTTTCCTTAGAGTTTGGGTCTAGGCATTGAAGCAGTACTGTGTTCCACTCTACCTTTTATGAGTTATTGATGGCATCTTATCAAAGTAAATCACAACCATGGCAGTCACACAATCCGATGATGTGTGTCTGTTACCACTTTGTTGCTGGTGGGGACAGTGCACAGACTGTCGGAACAGTGTGATAGATCCCAGGGGCAGGAGAGCTTGCTGAACAGGCAGGAAATTCAGCTTTCCATAAACATATTAGGTCATTATAATTTGTTTGTGACAGCGGTTCGCTTGGATGATAGAATGATTTTCTGTTTCATTTTGCAGGACACTTCGATGCCTCCCGGGGACTTCCCACCATGCTGTGGAGACACACGCACCCGTGGTGAGTACCCAGCACTCAGTCCCGACTTTGCCCTTCCCGGGTCAGCTGTGCAGAGGGCGCTGTCTTCAGGGCGCATGGCTCTTGTCCACTTCAGGGGGCTGGGGGCCCAGTTCCTCCCAAGCCTGTGGCAGAAGTGGGGCCTGGAGCGTTCGCTGCCTTGGTCCAGCTGATCTGAACACCTCCTCTCCTGCAGCTCAGAGAGGCCTGGGAGCAGGTGTCAGGAGTGGACATCAGTGGGACGTTTCTGCTTCCGAGGCGGCCACACGGAGCTGTGCGGGGGCGGGCAGGGGCGTGGGGCATGTGGGAGGGGGGGCAGGGCCAGTGGGTGGACACTGGCTGGTTAGTGCCCTCTGGACGCTGGCACTGGGGTGATTTCCTGGTTTTTTCTGGGAGCACTAAGGGCATCCTGGGGGTACAGCAGAGATCTCGCCTCTGATGGGATAAAGGATGGCATGGGGTCAGGCACCCTGGGAGGCTGTGGGGAGTCACTACCTTTAGAACCCCAGTTGGGTCCAGCCTGGGGCTGCAGAGGGGTTCAGCAAGGGTCCGTGGCACGCCTGGCACTCGCCCTGTGCGTCCTGCCTTGGTGACAGCCTGGCAGCCAGGCTGAGACTTTTCAGAAATACTTATTTATTTTTACTTGCAGTCGCCCTGGGTCTTTGTCGCTGCCTGCAGGCTCTCCTCTAGTTGCGGCAAACAGGGGCTCCTTCCAGCTGCGGTGGGCTGACTTCTCACTGCAACAGCTTCTCGTGATGCAGAGCAGAGGCTCCATGGTGTGCGGGCTCAGCGGTTGTGGTTCTTGGGCGTGAGGGCGCAGCGCACAGCGGCGGGCACACGGCTCAGGTGCTCCGCAGCACGTGGGATCCTCTGGACCAGGGGCTGAACCCGTGTCCCCTGCCTTAACAGGCAGATTCTTAAGCACCGGACCACCAGGGAAGCCCCCAGCAGAGGTTTTTGTCTGAATTCGTATTAAACTCCGGGAGTTGGTGCTGAACAGGGAAGCCTGGCATGCTGCAGTCCATGTGGTCGCAAAGACAGACACTGAACGGAACTGAAGGGATCTTGAGGAAAGAGATACTATTTCCATTGTTCTCCAGTGCTCTCTCAGTCAGCCTTGGAATAGTTTGTTCACACAGCAAGAATTTAATTAGATCCTGTTCATTCAAGATGGTAAATTTAGGTCCTTGTTTGTGCTGACTTGTCCTAAGCTCACAAGGCTCGCTTTTGCTGAGTGAGACGCAGCCCTGCTCCCAGGAAGGGTCAGTGTAAGTGATGAGGCTGCAATAGTCAGAGCTCGGTGGCTCCGCGGTGTCTGTGTTGCCTACGAGCGGGACTGGCCCCAGGTCTGGAGGGATTGCTCTTTCCTGGAGGAGTTGCATCTGCGTGTGTGAGGCCGAGATGGGTGGTTCCCACCGGGGCTGCTCTGTGAGTGGAAGAGCCCAGAATGAGGGCCTGCCCTGGGACTGAGTCCAGGCACAGCCTGCGATGCCTCCAGTCGCGGTCCAGACTCCAGGAGGGGACGGTCCAGTCTGAGCCACCGTGCTGGCTTGGGCGTGGCTGACCTCCAGTGGCCATGGGCTCTCAGGGCCCATGAGCCCGAGGCGCGTCAGGAGGACATGGTGTCTCAGGCTGCTGGCAGCACACAGTGAGGGGTCAGGGCTGATGCCCCGTCAGATCCCGGCTCAGACCCTCGAGCGCGGTCTGTCTTGCCTGCCTCGGTTTCCTCAGCTGTAAGATGGGAATGTCAGTGGCCCGCACCTCATGGGTTTTTCCTGAGGCTGAAATGATGTACGTTTTGTGAAGCACTTGAAGCAGATGCCCGCTGCCCGCTGAGTGCTCCGTAGACTGAGTGCCCTGGCTCTTTCTCTTCCGTTATAAAAAACCAGCATCTCTGCAGCAGATGCTGATCTCTGGGACACAGTTTCCCTGTGTGGACGCAGCGCACTTCTCTCCTGTTACTCTCTTCCTTAAGTGGGTCAAAACCAGAACCCGCAGTAAGTGCAGCCACCGAGATTTCGCTGAAGGCGGTGCTACTTGGTCAGCTGACGGCATAACTAAGCTCTGGGATCATCTCCTAAGGCCGTTGAGATGCGGTCACTCCTTGCTGCTAAAATCCCTGCGCGGCCTGAGCAGTTATTGTCTAGTGACAGCAACACGTGGGACCCCAAGCGCGAGCTTGGGGCAGATTTGAGATGATGGGAAATGCTGGGGCCTGCGTGACCCATCTGCTCAGTGAAAGGGGGTGAGCGCTGGACTAACTTCACCACTTCTCGCAGGGAGATTTTTCTCTCACGAAACGAAGTCACAGTGCCCGTCAGTCTCACCATGGAATCGGGTGCCCTGTCTGACCTGTGTTAAAAAATGGTGACTTCAGGCCCAAGAAACGTGCCACCAAATTTGAGCAGAAAATAACTTTGATTCCAGGTTTGCCCGTTTCCCCAGAGGAGGTTTCCCCAGGGGACCGTGCGAGTTTCCAGGAGGACTCTTGCCCTGTGGGGTCACATGGGCACCCAGGCCAGACAGGGTCCCAGAAAACCCCCATTTCATCTTCCCTCTGGCTCAGCTGGAAGTCAGGCGGGTGGTTCGCTGGTCCCCAGCATCGATGTGCGTGAGGGTCTCACCTGACACAGGGGCACTCTTGTCGCGTTTTGCTGACATTCATTCACCCAGTGATACGGGCCGAGCTCCGCTGTTCTTGATGCCGTGTTGGCTGCCAAGGGCTTGGTCAGTGTTTTTAAGGAGGGGAGAGTAAATGCACTTATTCATATTCACAGGAGAAGACAAAATGGGGCATTTCAAACACGGCCTAAAACGTGATTGTGGAGTTCAGGGCGCTGGTGGTGGTGAGAGGGCGGCCTTTGAGCTGCTGACTGGAAGGACAGGAGGCAGTGTACAGGGTTCGTTTTATTTTAAAATTTATTATACATACAAAGCAGGATATGATAACATACATGCCCCTGTGTAAATTTCCTGGAGCTGCTGAAATAAATGCCTACAAATTGGGTGGCTTAGAACAACAAAAATTTATTTTTTGGTCAATAAATGTTTTCCCTACTCCTGACCACTTGATTAACCTTTTTCAGGAGTGTTTTGGCTAATCTTACTCATTTATTCTTCCATATGCAACTTAGAATAAGCCTCCGAATTCCATGTTAGGGGCAGGCTTCTTGGGGTTTTGGGTAGACTTGTAGATCTATTTGAAGAGATGAGTCTTCTGGGACTCTGAGGTTTTCTAAGGCCATGCTTTGCATCTCCACTTCCCAAGTCTTCTTTATTTCTTTTCAATAAAGCTTTATAATTTTCCCCACAAGAGATGAGAATATTTGTTTATATTTATTCTTTAGTGTTATAGTGTTTATTTTTATTCTTAGTGTTATAGGGAAATAGATGGGGAGACAGTGGAAGCAGTGTCAAACTTTATTTTTTTTGGGCTGCAAAATCACTGCAGATGGTGACTGCAGCC